TGGCCCAGAAGGGACAAACCCAGGGTCACAGAGCTTAGAGAAAAAAGTTTCCTCACTCCCACAAGACAAGCAATGATAACTGCAGACTGCAAAGGTCCTGGTCCACTTATGGGGTGTCAGGCGCCATGTTAAGTGTTTTAATGACTTGTCTCACCACCTACCTTATGGGTTTGTTGAAAGGTTATTATCCCCTTTGACAAACGTGAACACTGAGAATCAGAGAGGTTAAGTAACTTGCCCAAGATTGCCCAGCTATAAATGATAGAACTGTGTTAGAATCCTGCAGCTCAGCCTTGGACTTAGTTGCTTCTCACACTAACGTGCACATGGACCCTAAGTATGGGGGTCTTAATTAAAATGTGGATTCTCATTCAGGAGGCCTGCGTGGGGCTTGAGATTCAGTGTTTCTCCCAAGAGGTGTACCTGCTGCCATCCACGCAGCACACTTGAGTAGCGAGGTCTTTCTGGGAGGATTCTGAGTGGTTTGAGTAAGAGACAGCAGCTCTTAATAAAAGTCAGAACGGTGCCTGGCACATATAAGTATAGCTAGTCCTTTGCATCTATTAACTAATTTAACCCCACAACACCACAGTAAAGTAGATTCTATTGTTATCCCCATTTTACAGATGAGGAAGCTGAGGCACAGAGGGGTTTAATTAATATCTGGGTTAACTACATGATCTCTAAAGTCCTCCTGAGCTCTTTCTAGGTTACTCCCGGCCTTAGGAAGGGCTTCCCAAGGTCTATACCTCCGGATCCCACGCCCACCCCTTAACAGGCCCAGAGGCGGCTCTGAGGGAGACTGTCATCCGGCCCAATGCCCCACCTCCCCAGGGTGTCAGCTGCAGTCTTCCCTGGCCTTGTCCCTGGCCCTGGTGATAATGGGGGTCTCCCCGGCCCCTCCAGCCCTGCCCACCACGCCTTGGACTGTGCTCTGCTCTGATGGGAACCCAGCTAACCTCAGGGGCTGAGCCCACCATGCTCAGGGGCGACTCTCCACCACCCCGTTCCCTCCCTTGACAGTTCGCCAAGGCCCTGGTGCACTTCGGGGAGCAGGAGAGCAAGATGCAGCCGGACGAATTCTTTGGTATCTTCGACACCTTCCTGCAGGCCTTCTCGGAGGCGCGGCAGGACCTGGAGGCCATGAGGCGCAGGAAGGAGGAGGAGGAGCGGCGCGCGCGCATGGAGGCCATGGTGAGGGGCCCGGGAGGGAATGGCTGGCGTGCGCCGGGGGGCCCTGGAGGGGGAGGGCGGGCTGGGCGTCGGGGACGGGAAAGGGGGGCGACCGATACAGCGGGCACCAGGGCCGCCGCCCGCGGGAGTGACCCCGGCGTGGGCCTCGGCCGGCTCCTGAGGGCCCCTCTCCCCGCAGCTGAAGGAGCAGAGGGAGCGCGAGCGGTGGCAGCGGCAGCGGAAGGTCCGGGCGGGCAGCGCGCTGGACGAGGGCGGCGGCGAGTTCGACGACCTGGTGTCCGCCCTGCGCTCCGGGGAGGTCTTCGACAAGGACTTATGCAAGCTCAAGCGCAGCCGCAAGCGGTCAGGGAGCCAGGCCCTGGAAGTCACCAGGGAGCGCGCAATAAACAGGCTAAATTATTGACCTGGGACTGGCCGCGCGGGAGGCTGGCAGACAGGGACAGCCCAGAGGGGCTGAGTGGAGACGGCGGTGACACTTACAGGATTTGGTGCTCGGGCTGAGCCCTGGGCTGGGCCCCGGGGTGGGGAATGGTGTGTGGCTGGACCAGGTGTCCCCCCACGTTTACCTGAGGGCTCCTCTCTTCTCCCCTTCACACAGTCCCCAGGGACATCTCTGAGGCTGGCTTGGACACCCCTAGCAGGCCCTGGGTCTCTGACCAGGCCACCTGGGGCTGAGGGCCCTGCTCCCCACCCCACCGTGGGCACCCACAGGTTGGCACAGAACTGTTCCAGATCTAGACCAGAGAGGAGGTCCATGACATTGTCCAGATTTCATGAGCAGGGAGAGTAACGGGGCGTGAGAGCGGGGGTGGGGAGTCCAGGCCCCCCCCCCCTCGAGGAGGCTCAGCGGACACTGCTCTGGGGGCAAACTTTCCTTTTGGATGGAATTGGGAAAGGCGTTGTTTTCTAGCTAGATCAGCTCTGGTACATTCCAGAAAAAGAGCAAACGTTGGGAGGATGATGCGGGGACCAAAGCCACCAGAACAGGGTAGCAGTGCCTGTTTCCCATGTCACAAGTCCTTTGGCCTCTCTGCCATGTCTGAAGTCTTTCTCCCTACACCCACCTGCACACCTCCATCTCATCTACTAATCCACAACCCGGAAGACTCCCCTTTGGGTTCCGACTGTGGCTCACTACCAGGTACTTGCATCTGGCAAGGGAGGGGGCTCAAGTAGGACCCCATTACACCACACCTCATGCCTCGGGCAGATCCCTACGGGTGCATCCCAAGTCCCCATCTTCCCATGCAACCTGGCCCCGTGCAACCTGGCCGTGGTTGGGAAGTGACCTTACCTGTTGCCTAGCAGTTCCCTGTGGCACCGCACCAGAGGGCAGCTCTTGAATGCCAGCTCCACCCGACAGCCCCTTGGTCTACCATGTCCCATAAATCACTCGCACCCCCTTTCCCTAACATCTGCCTTGGGGCAGAAGCCACAGTGAGCCACAGAAGAGCTTCCTGCTCCATCCGGCCTGCACAAGGACACTTAGAACCAGTGTCCTGGCTGAGGCTGGTGGGGGAGTAGGTTCCAAGGGGGTCCCAGGGCCAGAGCTGCCCTCCACATTTATGCCTCTAAAGGTGGCCCCTCCTCTGTGTCATTCAGATGGGGGCCAAGAGGAGAGAAGGGACAGCAACCATGGAAGCTGGAGATGGGGGAGCACACTGCTTCAGGGCCTTCCCCCCATCTCTGGAACCCGATTTGGTTCTTCCGCCTGACTTGCCACAGACCCATTCCAGTGTTCCTGTCCACTCCCATCTTCCATTTTGTCCGTCTTGAGCTGTCCTTTGTGGATGGGACAGCTGGCTCTAGACAAAATCTCTTCTGAAAGGAGGGGCCTGAGGTCAATTTCAAGGCTTTATATGTTCAATAACGTCTTACTGTCTGTGCGTCCGGCCCTGCCTCAACCCATCCACCAGCTCCCAGCCCTCCCCACCTCACCCCTGGCTCAGGGTTATTGCCAGTGCACAAGCTGGCGGGCTGGCCTGCTCTCAGCTGCCTATCTTCTGCCTTTTTCCTATATCAGATTCCTGGGGGTGGGACCATAGTGGCTGTGGGGACAGAAACACAGGCTTGGTGAGCCCAGCATGTGCGTAGGTTCGAGGGGGCAGGTGGCACGTGTTTTCTGGTGGGAGGGATCTGAGCAGTGCAAGCCTGGCCAGCACAGGTGTGAAGAGCTATCCTGGAACCCAGGTGAGGACGAGATGAAGGCTTCCAGGAAGAGCAGCTGCTGAGAGCTTTGCTATACCCATCTGCACCCCCGAGAGCCCACCCTGCAAGATGCAAGTGTTGGGATGAGGGGGAGGTTGTGGGTGAGGCCTCTTAAGGTCCTCTCCCAAACTGGCCAGGCTGAGATCGATCTAGCCCCCAAGGGGAGCGCTCTGGTCCGACAAGCATCTCCAAAACCTGGCATTCCCGCCCACCAAGGAAGACCAGATATGCACCAGAAAGACAAGGAATGTGGAAGCTGTTCAAGACACATTCAATCCTCAGAAAAGCAGAGTTCGGTTTACCTGTTTACAGAGGACACATACATCGTTCCAGAGCCCAGCCTTCTTACCCCCAAAGATTTTTTCTTCTCTATTTATTATTTCCTAGATCTGGCCAGTGGCTTTGGTACCAGGTGCCATTGCAGCCAGATCAACAGTGCCTTGGACCATGGACCGTAGCAGTCAACTCACAAGGGGCTGGCGCCCAATGGGGTGGGTGGCTGCGCTGGTCCTCGATATGTTACAGTCTATTAATGTGCTCCTTGGTCTTGTTTCCCTATGCCCTTCCCACCCCTCCAGCCACCTTTGGGAAAATTTTTCCAGCTAATTTTGTGTCCAATGTAAAATTTCATCGTCAACCTAATGCAACCTGTTCCCTTCTCAGCAGCAGCACTTACTCCCTCCCCTGTGATAGAAATAACGTGTTTAGGGGCAGTGGGAGGAGAACATCCTCCAGGTGGATGGGGAAGGGTCTGGGGCAGGCTCTCCCCACCGCCATCCCATCCCATTGCCACCACCCGGGGAGTTGTGACCGTCTCCCCTGACCTCTACCAGGGATGCCTTCATGCCAAGGCTGCTCTCACCAGCTGCCTCAGACGACAAATGAGGCCAATGGACGAAATCTGCAGTGTCCTTTTCACCTGCACCTTTTTTTATAAGAATATATTGTAATACTAAAAACTATTAAATCCATACCATCCCTACCCAGCCTGCCTTGAAACTTGTGTCTTCTTCCCATGAGGGGACTTGGGATGGGCTGGGGAGCTGGCACAGACAGTGGTGTGCTGGAGCTCCATGAGAACTAACTGTTTTACATTTGCAGGAGATTTGCAAGCCGTTTAAAATTACATTGGTAGCTTGAAATTGGTCAACATGGGAGTCATGGAAATTGTCTGTTTTCCAGAGAGCTGCTTGTTAACTTTTGCCAGCACACCTCAGCATAGGGCGGAGGGAAGGCAGGCAGGGGACACCACTGAGGACACACCCAAAGGTGCCAAAACACACCAGAGGACCCAGGAGGCCACTCCAGCGTTTGGGGACGTGAGAACCAGGAGGCTGTAACTGCACTCCCCTGGGCTCTAATAGCTGGTGGTACAAGCAGGGAGCTTGAACCCTGCCTCTGCCCTTGAACTTCTCCCTTACATGTGCAATTCTGTGCCTCCTGCTTCACTGTACCTTCTCCCGCAGGGGGATATTCAAGAATGTGCCCTGTATGGCTTTCCAGGGTTCCCCTTTTCTTCTCCCCAGGGGAGTGGGTTTGGGGACAGGCCTGAGGGAGGGGTCTGAAACCGTAGCATCTTGGTGCCATCCACACAGACAGTCCTTATTCTTGCATCTGCAAAGTTGGCATCGTGGCTTTATTTGTGCACTGTGAGGGTGAAGGTGACCTTCACCTCTCTTCTTTCCCTGACATGTTCCAGAATAAGGGAGGGAGGAATGGTCTGGGGCAGGGCCAGGTGTGGGCTGTGTGGTGGGTCAGGAGCCCTTAGGGCCTCGGCCCACGCATGTGCATCCTGTTTACGAGGAGTGGGCTGAGGAAGGGGCTGGCAGGACGTGGCGGCTGCTCAGCCGAAAGCCTGCAAGTCCAGAGGGACACAGGCTCGGGCAGGAGAGATGGGGCAGAAGCTGGGAGCAGGCAGAGTTGGGAATCAGAGCTGCTGGGGAGAAGCTGGGATACATTCTCTGTGCAAGCTTGTGCTTTTCCCTCCTCAAAGTGGGCTCCTCTGCTTAATGAGCCCTTATTCTTTCCCCAGGAAAGCAGAAGAGAAAACCCAAAATGAGAAGTTACGGGCTGGACCGTCTGAAACTGGTGGTCTGAAATGGTCCACAAATAATATGATGTGATTTTTCAGTTACCAAGCATTGCTCGCTGCAACCCCCTCCCGTGACCTTAGTGTCCTGGAAGGCTTAGGGGCTGCCAGTGTCCCCTCTGTACACAGAAAGCCCCACAGGTCATCAGAGGTCATCCGGCAGCAGACCTAGTAGCAAAGCGGGATGAGCTTGGGTTCCTACTGATGACGGTGAGCAGTGGCTGGGATTAAAGGAACGTGACATCTTTCCCTCAGCCCAACCTGCTCCGCATCCGCGGCCCTGGCTGGCCGTGGGTGAGAGGGGCAGGAACTCTAAGCCCGATGGAAGTCCCCCCGCTGGCCCCCGGTCTTGCTGATGAGCTTGATCTCCCCCAGCACGATGTCCCTGCTGACCGCCTTGCACATGTCATACAGGGTGAGCGAGGCCACAGTGGCAGAGGTCAGGGCCTCCATCTCCACGCCGGTGGGGCCCCGAGCCCGGCAAGACGCCTGGATCACCACGGCATGGCGCGTGCCGTCCAGCTCCAGCCGCACCTGGACGTGGCTCAGGGCCACGTGGTGGCACAGCGGAATCAGCTGGCTGGTCAGCTTGGCCGCCTGGACTCCAGCCAGCTGGGCCACCACCAAGGCATCTCCCTTTTTGAGCTGGTTCTGCTGGACGAGCTTGAAGGCCACAGGCCCCAGGAGGACCACGGCTGAGGCCACAGCCACCCGCTCTGTGTCCGGCTTCCCGCCCACATCTACCATAGCTGCCCGTCCTTCTGAGTCCACGTGGGTCAGTTGTTCCGAGGTTGATGGGGGTCCCCAGGGGGTGGCGGGAGCCTGGGACCCTGGGCTAAGGCACTTGGAGTTGGCATCTGAGTCTGCGTGGGAAGTGTAGTGTCTCTGAGGGGAGCCAGACCCCAGCCGCCGCTGGGCTACGGGAGGGGCCGGGGGGACCCCACGTCCTTTCCACAAAGTTGCCATCTGGCTGGAGAAGCTCGCTCTGAGTCTCAGACCCCGAACGTGGAAGGGGTCCCAGGGGGAAATGCTCAGATTGGCTGGTGGGGAATCTTGGAACATCGAAAATAACTCTGGAAGGCAGGAAGGAGAAAGAAAGACTAAGTCCATAAGGCAGTTATTTTTCCTACTTCTATTCCCCAACCCTCTCCCTCTCCCACCCAAGTTCTTTCTTTCACAATGGAGAAAGAGGGATGAACAAAAAGCACAGACAACACAGAAGTACACAGACAGGAGGTACCCACAGTGCAAGCTCACAGCCCTTCCCGCCAGGTGACATGCAGGGCACCAGGGACTGCCACGCAACACTGCGGTAGGGGCACTCCGGGCTCCTTCCTTATGAGAACTGTCCTGTTTCCCACGCTTTCTTAAGAAACACCTAAGGTGTGAGGGCGGAAGCCTGGATCAAATGACCTCTCAATGTCTCTTCGTTTTCTTAAAACTGTAGCTAGGTCTCACCCTCAATTACCAATTATACTTATTTTCATCTTCACAGTCTCTATGAAGAGTTAATATAGACACTTAGTTTACAGCAAGGTACTAAGGGAAACATTTAATCTACTTAAATCGAGTCTCTCAAATTCCCTCAAGCACATGAGCAGTGCACACAAGACTGGAAGGCTGATTCCCGTGGTCCCGAGGGCCGGGGGACTTGGCAGGCTCTTGCCACTCAGAGGGTGGCCTGTCCGCGGGCCAGCAGCACCAGCCCCTCTGAGAACTCACTAGAGATGCAGTATCCCACCCCAGACCTCCCGAATCAGAATCTGAAATAACAAACTCCCCACGTGATTCACACGTATGAGAAGGCTGAGGGGCCCTGTTCCAGACCACTCCTGGATTTATAGACAGCACACTAGGCTAGTTACGCGATATCCCCGAGAGCAATGAAATTCTGCAGGAAGCACATGGCCTCCCAACTTCCAGCTTCCCACCATGCTCCGACACGTCGATGTCAGAGGGGCAACCGCCCTTCCGGGGAGGATGCCATCAAGGCACCTCTACTCCTCGCCATGAGGGACACCAGCATGGGCCAAGGGCCAATAAGAGGACCGTGAGGCTGGAGGTGGGGGAGCAGGGACGATAAAGTCTGTCCCCTGATGGAGCGCTGCCATCGCTTCCCAGCAGTGCCCTGCCTTGCCTCTACGGGGTGGAAAACAATGGTGGTCCTTGGGCTGTCCCCGGCCCATCCCAGCCTGCTGTCCTCTGGGCCGCTGCACTCACTCTGCTGCAACCTCTGGAGAAAAGAATCCTTTCCTCTTGCTTTTCTCACTGCTTTCTTTCGTCCAAGGGTACAATTCAGGGGGCCCAGAGCTGGGTGTGAGCAAGGGGACAGGGCCTCTGCTCTCTAATCTGAGTACTCTGACAGAGGGGCAGAGCAGCTGTACATACAGCCCCTGGGGACCAGCCCAGTTCCCAGTTCCCTAGGGCTCTACATATGGCTTTATAAAAAAGGGTGTTTTGGTTTGAAGCATCCTATGCACATGATATATGTCCTATGCACAGACGTTCCTGAGAGTTAAGAAATTGGGAAGTTGAAATTCTGCCTGTTTCCTCCCTGAAAACATAACATTATTAGCTTGCTGCCTGACGCTCCACCTGGCCCAGACACACAGTAACTATTGGTTATTCACACATGGACTGTTCCACACTGCCGGGGGGAAGGACATCTAAAATTGTATTCAAGCTAGGAGATTCTAGAGCTGAGGTAAAGGTCTCTATTTTAACCAGGAGCTCAATTCTCAGGGAACAACTAACTTGTGATTATGAAATCCAGGGATCCCCGCCCTGACTTCTGCTGAGACAGAATGACCATGTCTGTGGCAGGTGCAGTGAGGGGAGCATGAACAGGGAAGAGAAGAAACAATAAAGGCATGAAGGGGTGAGAAAAGATGAAGGAGGAATAGAAGAAAAATAAGGATGAGAACATCAGGATGAAAGGTGGAGCTGGAAGTTACTGTGATAGGGCCCCACCCCACGGGGTCCCCAAATGACAAGGGTGAGTGGTTACGTACTGATGGGTCACCCACCGATGAGGATCATGGGCCGGTTCTTCATCTGGGAAATGTTGAACATGCCTGGGGTAAGGGAAGGCCGGGGAGGGAGAGGAGAGCAGGGAAGGGGGAGAGAGGGCAGGGGGAGGAGGTTCACTGAAACGAACGTGCTCGGACAGCCCCTGTGCACTGCATCAGCCACTCGCACCCCGACAGAAGGCCACGTGTACACCACAAGGTCACTGGTGGCAGAGCCCAGGGACAGTCTGTGGACACCCAGGACCCTGCCCTCCCTATCAGAAGGCAACACGTGGGATGAGAAGGGAGCAATGCCACCCCTCTCCCCGTGCCCAGGAAAGCAGCCACTGAGAATTCCGGGTCCCCTCTCCTGCGCAGCCTCGGCTATGACAATGTCCCCAGAGGAGGAGGACCATCTCCGCACTCCAGGTCTAGAGGTCTGGCAGGAGTGAGTGGGAGTGGCGACAACACTGGGCCCTGCCAGCTTCCTCCCAGGTGCCCCTTGGCCCTCTCTCCCCTAACTCTGGACCTCCCTCCTGCGCACAATGGCCCACTCACCATCCAGCCTGGCCTTCCCCGCCCTGCCCTTACCCGCATGTTGCCGCTTCTTCCTGCCCACGGCCGCTCCGATGATTCTCAGCAGCTCCTGCTCGGAGGCCCCGGCCCGCAGGTGATCCCGCAGAGACACCTCGGAGTTCCCAAAGAGGCAGACCTATGTGGGGGTGAGGACAACACGCCTCCCTGAAGCTTGGCCTCCTGCCCTCTGGGTAGTAACACCGTCCTTTGAGCCACCCGGGCAGGGCACCAGTGCCAGGCCTCCCACGGCAGGATCATGCTCGAGGCAGGACCCCTGGCAAGGAGGGACAGAGGTGCTGTATGGAGGGGTCAGGGGCTGGAAGAGCAAGAAGCAAAGTCAGACTTCCCAAGGCTGATGTCTGAGTCACAGCCATGCTTCCTTCAGTGTACTTTAAAAACGAAGTAGATGTCAACAGAGACAGCACATGAAAATCTGGCTCTGTACCTTCCCCCGAGATAGCTGATGGACCGGCCCCCGCTCAGCTGGGGCTACGTGCATCCTGGAAGTCCCCCCCAGATGTGGCACAGATGTCCTATTTCGCATCCGTCTCCTCCTGGTCCCTTCACCTGTGGACATCACCTGCCTGTCACTGCACCTGTGTGAGTCTGTGATCCCCGCTGGGTAGCTGAGCAGCTGAGGGCTGGGGAAGTGCCATCTTGAGGTCACTCAAACTTCACTCAATGCTTCCCAGCTTCCAAGAGAGGCTGGGTGTCAGGGGGGCAGTCCCAGAGATTGAGACGCCTATCACCCTTCATAAACCCTTATACAGCACCCGCTATGTGCTGGCTCTGCACAAGGCACTGTGGCCACAGAGACAGGAGAACGTGTGAGAAGCCCTGGAGGCAGGGATCACTCGAGAAGATACGGTGCCAACGACACCCGAGACAGACGGTGTGACGACGACTGCACGTGCAGCTTTTCCTCATCCCTCGCTCCCCCGCCACATCCCACTCCCCGTCCTGCTCTGCGACTAGGAGGCTCCCCCGTCCTTCACCTGGCGGGCTCCCCACCCCCCGGCTGGCCCCTGCCTAGGAAGTCAAGGCTGCAAGGAAAGAAAGGTTGGGGCATTTGTCCCCTGCGTCCTCCCTGCCTTGACATCTCTGGCAGCAGCTGCTTCCTCCACAGCTGAAGGGCCCACCAGGCGGCCTCTCCTCCCAGGCTGTAGCCCTCAGTGGGCCCCAGGGACACCTCTTCCTCCCATTGCCCTTCCTGCCTAGGTGGGAACAGGTGTCTGCTGCTGCCTGTCCTGAGGGCCTCGGCATCCCTTCTCGGGGCCCTCACCCTGCGACACTGTGAACAGCCCCTCCGTTACCTGTCAGATCCCACCTCCGTTTCCAGCTGGGACACTGACCTGTGCAGACGATACCTACGCAATTCTGCATCTCCAGCCCAGGAAAATCTGGCGCGCCACCTTCCTCCCCTTCCTCGTGCTTCCCCCAGCTGAGTCTCCCTCCCGCCTTCACTCACTCTTACACCTGGAGCATTGCCGGCGGCCATCAAATTGGCCTTTCTATCTTCACATCCAACCTGTGCGTTATTCTCCCTAAAACATGGGTGGGGGCAATCGTGTCTCCCCCGTTTAGAAACCTAGTGCAGAGCCCAACTGTCAGCAGAACACGTTCTGAACCAAAGGCCTCTGCAACGTGGTCTCCATGCACCTGGCTTTAATCTGCTCCTGCGAGTCAGCGTGAACCCCGCATACGCACCTCCCCTCCTCGTCTCTCCTGCCCACCCCTGTTCTCCAAGGCTACCCGAGGTCCACGGTGCTCTTCCTCCAGGTCCACCGCCCCAGTGCCACCTGGCCAGCCAGGTGTTTGACAAGGAATTATGTACTACCACGTCACCTCTTTGTTTGGTCTTACCAATGAGTGTGTACGGCCCTGACATCCACACAGGCTGACCACACAGGACATGCTCATTGGATGTGACTAACAGATGCCAGTTTCAGAACTGAGCCCTGGTCTGGTGGAAGGGTCAGCCACGGTGGGCACTGGGCGAAGTGTACAGTGATCCCTTGGGCCTCCTCTCTGGTAGCACTGGGTGCTGGAAAGGGGGTCCCAATAAACCAGAAGCTACTTCAGGGACCCAAAGATGGAAGGAATCAGAGTGACATTTCCAGAGAGGCCATGAGTTCACCCTCATCAGCTGCTCCCACGATGCCCCCAAACCTGACGCTTATCACACCAGCCACCCCGTGTGCCCTGCCGGCCTCCTCCCCTGTCAGCGAGCACAGGCAGGAGGAGACTTGAGAACACGGAGGCGGCTGGGGTCCTCGTGGAGGAGGGGACACTCACCTTGAGGTTCCCATCTGCCGTGATCCGCAGCCGGTTGCAGGTCCCACAGAAGTGCTCGGACATGGAAGTGATGAAGCTGATCTGGCCTTGGAAGCCAGGGATCCTAAAGGCCTGGGAGGGTGAGGCAGGCGGGAAAGGGCAGTGAGGGGACAGGAGAGGCTGCTGAGCCCAAGCTCTCCCGCCCTGACGTCAGGACCCCCACTCCCAGCCCTCTCCCAGGGGAGCCCCTGCAAAGGTGGCACCCAAGGCCCTCAGACGACAGAAAACTGAAAGAATAGATGACCTGTGAGTTCTCTGCCAGAGCCTGGCTTGCCCGAGAGGAAACCTGCTGAGGACACAGGGACCCATGGGCGGCATGTCCAGAGAAGGCCACATGGAAGAGTGGGACCAGCACACCCCCACTTCTACAGAGCATGTCCTCTGATCACTTAACCCCTGCCTGCCCAAGCCCAGTCTACTTCTCCACTGCGGAAACAGGCAGGTGTTGTAACGGCTCTGCCTTGTTTCCCACTACCCCACACCACTGCCCCTGCCTGCTCTCCATCCTGTGAGGGGCCACCCCACCCTCCTGCTCCCTCACCTTGGCTGTGCTGGATTCCTCCTCGGGCAGCCTCTCCAGCTCCGGCCACTGCTGCCGGATGGTGTCCAGCATCTCCTTGTAGCTCACCATCTTCTTGAAGTTCCACTTGTTGCCTATATTAGGGTTGGGGGTGGTGGGGGAGCTGCTGAATCACAGAGTTGAAGGGGCCCTGGGGCCTTCAAGTCCCCACCCCCAGCACAGAAACCAGTCCCCCTGCCTCTTGGGTGGGAGGACAGGGGGCCCTGCCTAAAATGGGTGGACCAAACCACACCCACACTGGACTCTGAGGGGCCACCAGTGCCCCAACACAGCCCCCCATTCCTGGGGTTGGCAGTACCCACAGGGCGAGCCACCCCACTCACCCCAGGCCCAGCCCCCCTACCCCGCCCCGTGTCACTGACCATCAAAGGGCATGTACTCTATGAAGCGCACATCCAGGGGCAGGCCCTCGGTTAAGGCCACAAAGTCCAGGAGCTCGTCCTCGTTTAGGCCTCGCATCACCACACAGTTAACCTGCCCAAGGGACAATGGGACCATGAGGGCTGTCCCCCACCCATGTTCTCCTGTGGGGTGGTTCCCTTTGGGGGTCCAGCACCACTGAGGCCTTCCACTGGGGGGCCCGTTCCCTGCCTCTCCCCACTCAGTTCTTAAGTTGGGCGATTCCAGGGGGTCGCTGATTTTCTCCCTTTTCTCTAGGGGGCAGGCAGGGCTAGATGTGGCTGGGAGGAAGTGGGTGGTCTGGCTAGCTGGGTATGGGCTGCCAGATGGGTCAGGGAGCTGGGGGGAGGGCCAAGTCAGCACAGAGTAGGAGTCAGTGGTGGGGACGTCCTCACCTTCACCGGGCTGTAGCCCAGCTCGATGGCCTTGTGGATGCCCTCCATGACCTTGTAGAAGCCTGTGGGCAGGGAGAGAGAAACATGGGTCCAGGAACTTCCTCCCTCTCCCCTGCCCCATACCCACAGGGAAGCCAGAGCTATAAGGAACCTCAAAGACCACCTGGTCTGGAGGCTGACAGACGTTTTCTGTAGCAGGTCAGAGCACAGAGAGTAAATATTTTAGGCTTTGCAAGCCAAGAAGCAAAATTGAGGATCCTATATAAATATATGTCATAAGGTGGGTTTTGATTAAAATCAAAATATGGTAATAATAATTGAGTAGAGTTTTCTGTAATACAGGTCTACAAAAGGGATGGAAGAATGGAATTCTTTTTGTAGAGACAATATTTTGTTTAATTGGGGTCTACAGTTAATGTTACCTATTATTAACTGATTCCAAATGTTATATGCAAAATCCATTCTTGACTCAAAACTCATACAAAAATAGGCAGGGGGCTGGACTTGGCCCAGACTCCCAGAGGAAGGGACCAGGCCCCTTGCCTAGCAATGGCCACACCCTCCCCAGCTACACCGGCCCTGGGAGGGACACTGTGCTGCCTGCGATCACCTTTCCTGCGGACGATGAACTCAAACTTAGCTGGCACCAGGGTGTCCAGGCTGATGTTGATGGCACTGAGACCAGCTTTCTGAAGCTGGGGTAGCAGCCGGGCCAGGTTGATGCCGTTGGTGGTGACGCCAATGGTCCTCAGCCCTTCTAGCCGCCGGAGCTGGGCTGCAGAGACAACGGATGGGGCGTCAGACAGCTTGTTCTTGGTGAGGTCAGGAAAAGTCTGGAAGGCCAAGCTTTGTTGAAACAAGACGGATGGAAAAGAGGATTTGTGTGGACCTCTATTAACCAGGTTTAGCTTAATGAAAAATGTAAAAATAAAAACAATGACCAAAACAACCAAAAAAATGAAGCACTGAGTGCTCATCCTGTGCTAGGTGCTCTGCTGAGGGCTCTGCATACATGAGCTCACAGAAGCCTCACAGCAAGGAGTACCCCCATTTAGTAGACAAGGAGAAAGAGGGGCTGAGAGAGATTAAGAACATTGCTTAGAGTCACACAGTAAGAACAGCTGGGATTCAATTTCACGTGTGCTTGACTCAGGACTCTGCTCTTAACAGCCATCTGCACAGGTCCTGATACTCTGTATAACAGAAGCAAGTAAGAGTTAGAATAATTATGTGCTATGTGACAGCTCCATTCCACTAAAAATCTCTAGAAATAATGGAAGGATTTTTTAAAAATCCGTAACAGCATTGGAAGGTAATAAAGAATGCCACTGATGGCCTAGCAAGGTATAGAAGTACTGAAAGAGACAAAGCAGATGGGATCAGATGGACAGACACCACTACACAAAGCGTAGCCAGGACAGCGTTCTGTAAAAATGAGGCAGGTGACTAGTGTGCACCAAGCTTAGCTGTCATGGATACAAGGAGCAGAGGTGTCCCAAGGCATGTCAAAGACATCCCCTGGTAGGGAAATTGCATTTGGAGGATCTGGGCAAGTTGGCCTGTTTTTCCCTGTCAGCACGAGGAATGCAACAGAAGCGTGTGCCCCAAGGCTGGAGCTCCAGGGCACACACTAAAGCCGGCCATGGGGGCAGCCAAGTCCCAAAGCCCATACCCCTTCTCCACCACCTCAGGGCAACTGGTAGAGACAGAAACAGCACTGCCAGGCAGGCCAACGAGACCTGAGGCACTAAGATGAGTATACAGCCAACAACCGCCTGACATTAAGGAGGATGTTGGGAAAGAAAGATTACCAATTCCCCAGACAGAAGAATGAAAAAAGAAAAAGAAACAACAGAGAAAAGAGAAGATAATTCTTTTAAAAAACAGAGTGATATCTCATTGTGGTTTTGATTTGCATTTCCCTGATGATTAGAGATGTTGAACATTTTTTCATATGCTTGTTGGCCATTATTCTGTCTTCTTTTGAGAAGTTTCTGTTCATGTCCTTTGCCCATTTTTTGATTGGGTTGTTTGATTTTTTCTTGCTGATTTCCTGAGTTCTAAATAGATTCTAGTTATCATCCCTTATCAGATGTATAGCTTGCAAAAATTTTCTCCCATTCTGTGGGTTGTCTGTTTGCTCTCTTGACAGTTTCTTTGGCTGTGCAGAAGCTTTTTAATTTCATTAGGTCTCATTTGTTTATTTTTGTTGCTGTTGTGATTAAACCACAATAAGATATCACTTAACTCCAGTGAAAATGGCCTTTATCAAAAAGTCCCCAAACAACAAATGCTGGTGTGGATGCATAGAGAGAGGAACACTCCTACACTGCTGGTGGGACTGCAAACTAGTTCAACCTCTGTGGAAAGCAATATGGAGATACCTCAAAGTGATACAAGTAGATCTACCATTTGATCCAGCAATTCCACTACTGGCATCTACCCAAAAGATCAAAAGTCACTTTATGAAAAGACACATGCACTCGAATGTTTATAGCAGCACAATTCACAATTGCAAAGCTATGGAAACAGCCCAAGTGCCCATCAATTCATGAATGGATTAATAAAATGTGGTATATGTATACCATGGAGTACTACTCAGCTTTAAGAAATAACAGTGATATAGCACCTCTTGTATATTCCTGGATAAAGCTGGAACCCATTCTACTAAGTGAAGTATCTCAAGAATGGAAAAACCAACACCACATGTACTCACCAGCAAATTGGTATTACAGATCAACACCTAAGTGGACATATAGGAGTAACATTTATCAGGTGTCGGGAGGGTGGGAGGGGGGAGGAAGGGACGGGTATATACAACCACAACGAGTAAGATGTGCAACGTTTAGGGGATGGACATGCTTAAAGCTCTTACTCGAGGGGGGTGGGGGGCATGGGCAATATAAGTAACCTTAACACTTGTACCTCCATAATACACTAAAATAAAAAAAATAAAAATAAAAAAAAATAAAGTCAGTACAATTCATGTAGCCAAAAATAAATAAAAAAAAAAAAAACCAGAGTGAATGTCCTCATTGGGATAAATGCATCCCTGGAAACACGAAAAAGAACTAATTAAGACTCTTGGAAATTAAAAAATATATATAGTTATAGAAAAAAAAACTGGATGAAAAAGCAGAATGGACACGTATGAAGAACAAATGGGAGAGCTAGGAAACTGAGCAAAGGAATTCCTGAAGAACTGCATACACAGGAACACAGAATGAAAAGAATGAGCCCGAAAAACCCACCTGGTCACATTCAAATGAAATAAAATCCAGAGAAAAGATACACTGTGTCCAAATGTTCACAGTAGTTATCTTTGACCAATAGGATTATAGTTAATGTTTATATTTATTACAGCTAATATTTCTATAACGAAAAGGTTTTCTTTTATAATGTAGAGAAACACACATACTCCTTGGTTTTTAGTCGAGCTTATGCTACATGGACAGTGCCATTGACTAGACCCTTCCAGCCACCGGACTAGGTGCTTGTAAGAAACTACGTGAACACGTCTCGTTGTGAAAAATTAGCTTAGTGCCACATGAGAGCAGAAACCAGGAGAAACGTGCTCACATGAAGCTCAATTGAGAAAAAGGTAGCAGGAGATTATAAAATTAATCATCAGCTTAGGCAGGGGTGCATTGAAATGTATACACCCATGGTGTAAGAGTAAAATTATATAACTTTTCCAGAGAGAGGTTATATATGGAACTTTATAAAACCTTTGGCCTGAAATGGATGTGAACAATATTTACCTACATGGATGTTTGTTACAGAGCAACACATAACACAGGGAAGTAGGGAACAATCCTGATAGCCAGCTAACGATAGAAACCTGCTTACATTATGTTTTCTCTGGATGATAGAACATTATGCCACCAAAAATGATGGTAAAATCCTATGTTAGGGTATAGGGAAACGTACATGTTATAGTAAGTAGAAATAGCAGGTTGAAAACAGTAAGCACCAGAGGCAGAGAAAAAAGGCAGGCAGGTCACCAAAGCAAGATGCCACTTTTGTTTCGGATTGCTTGTTGTTGCCTTTTTTTTGTTTTTTTGAATTAACGTTTTTTCTTTTTTTTTAAAAAAAAAAAAAACCCTGATAGTTTAAAAATGAGAGTTGCTTGAAAAAGAAAGAAAAGTGCTTTACTCTGGCTCTGCCAACAAGGAAAATCAGCAGTGGCTGTTTGCTCCCTCTGCCCAATCAACCCTGAAGAAAACAGAATCTAAGAACTGAAAACAAGAGCCTTGAGAAACTCAGGAAGATGACAGCTGTTTTGAACGGGCACCGGGTGCAGGCAGTAGCCTGGGGTTGAAGGCAGAGAATGTCACCAGATACAGGAAAGCAAGGCAGGCTAAGCTTTATTCTTGCCCTTGACCACTGACACGTTGGCACAATGTTTATCCCTTTACTGACGAAATCGGTGGCAATCGCCCAGAGAACTAGTTTCAGAATCTACTGCAGGCAAACTGGGGGAAACTGCCAAGCCCTGCTGGAAGAGGAGCTGAAGACAACAGGTGTGGACTGGCCACACTCGAGCATTCACTGCTCCATTCTCCCCACTCCAAAGCCCCAGGAATGGTGCATTAAAATCAGGGGTGACTGCCTCCTTCCAACTCTGCTTCTCCCTGAGGGATCCAAGGCAAAGACCTGCCAGATGGCCACTTACCACAACCCCAGAGGGTGTCATTCTCATCACAATCTAAGTGAATAGAGTCACCTGGAGTTGCGCAATGAACAACTCATGCAGTCTTGATGGCAAGGCTGGTTGTCTGGTGGGGAGATAACAAACTAAGGTAAGTAACTGTGTTATTCTGGACCTGAGACACTCGCCTCTCGCTTCCTTGAGCTCCCTCTGCCTATCAAAGACGAGGATCTTGCCTTAAACATTTTCACATTAAGCAATGCCATACAGAATAGCCAAAACCCTCAGGGGAACCTAAAGTCAGGTCTAATCTAAAGAGAGCCTTGAGCTCCCTCACCCTAACCCCTCCTCAAAAGAAATCCTTTAAAATATACTGATAGAAGAAAAAAACATTAAAATGGTTAGACCAAGAACATAAGATAAGCATGATAAATATAGTAAAAGAAATAAAAAATTAGAAAAAAAAAGACTATATAAAATAAAATTCTACCAAAAAAAAAAAAAAAAAACCCAAGGGGAAATATTAGGTAAAAACAATTGTGAAATAAAGAACACAAGAGATAAGAAAAAGAATTATATGGACACAGAAGTTGAAATTAGTGAGGTGGAAGATAAGATTAAGGAGCTCTCCCAGGAAAAAGAGGAGGAGAATAAGAAACTCAAAATATAATTTAAGACACATGGAGGCTGGAAATAGAAGGGACAACAGCCAGATGACAGAGGTCCTGGGAGAAAAAAATTAAAATAGAGAGAAGGAAATATTTAATGATATAATGAGAAAATTTTCTCCAAACTTGAGACAATGGTTTAGAATTGAAAGGGAAATTTCAACCAATGTCATCAGAACAGATGAGGAAAAGCCTATTCTAGACACACTATAGTAAAATTCAAGAAAATCAAATACATAGAAAACACTCTGATAACTTTCAGAGCAAAAGAACATAACACCTTCAAAGAAGTAAGAACCAAACTGACATAAGACTGTTCTCAACAGCAATACTGACTGTAAGAAGACAAAGGGGTAATGTTTTTCACATACTGAAGACAAGAAATGTGAACCTAAAACTTTATGTATATTCAAATAACATTATGAAACTATAGGCACATTTCACTCATGGATACAG